CTGAGGGACACAGAATTGTTACTGAGGGACACAGAATTGTTACTGAGGGACACAGAATTGTTACTCAGGGACACAGAATTGTTTACTCGAGGACAGACACAGAAATGTTACTCAGGGACACAGAATCGTTGGATTAAAGAGTATGTCAGACAACATGCAGAGGAGTGGCAGAGGAGGCCAATGTTTTAGGAGCGAGCAGACTGGCAGCAGAGGAAGGGGTCGAGGCAGCACTACTACGCAGCCAGAGGCCAGTGCTCCCGGTGTCATCCAGCGGTCGTGTCTCCACCGACAACCCTGCCGTCATCGATTGGTTGGCTCGGGAGGTCGTCTTCCTCTTCCCAGGTCACCTCTGACACCTACAGCCAACGGTCGGTGGGTACGTCAGACACAACCGTTAGTTGGCATGGCCCGGGAGCAAGCCCACTGAAATCACGTGTCCTCTACCTGCCCCTGTCCTTTGGTGTTCCCTCACCAAGCGAAGTATCGCATGCTGTGGGCTCAGCCCCACTGTACAGTGAGGAAGAGCTAACAGAGGGTTACGGTCAGGAACGAGGGGAGACATCCGCCTCTTCAGCAGCCAGGCGAAGAAGTAGTGGCGAGGAGAGTGGCTCGGTAGCCGGTCTAGAGACAGGTCTGTCTCCTGACCCACACGCAGCCGAGGGGGCTAGTAGTGAGGCGGAGACCCTAATTGATGATGATGAGGCTGATCGCACTTGGCAGCCTCGTCGTCATCAGGCTATTGCTTCCGCATCATCAGGAGAAGAAGGGTGGCAGCTTGGCAGCGAGCAAACAGTCGGTGGGTTGCCCAGAGGCAGCAGGGTCGCAGCAGTGTCAGTGGAGGCAAACGGCCACGGAGTAGAGCACCAGCTCCACTGCAGCCTACCACCACGGCCAGTAGTGGTGCCGGTGTGCACGGAGGAAGTAGCAGTCAGCCAGTGAGGAGTATCGGGGGCAAAGTTTCCTACTCGGCGGTGTGGCAATTTTTCGTCAAGCCGCCCGAGGAAGTAAACGTAGCCGTATGTCGACTATGTGGCCAGAAAGAGTCAAGCGTTGCCAGGGGGCCCATGTTGGGACACAGCGTTGCGTCAGCATATGCAGCGTCGCCATTTGGTGGCCTGGAAAACCGTGATAAAGATACGGCGGTTCTGCCTGCCCCATCCCCCGCTCCATCACCCGCTCCGTTACTTGCTCCATCACCCGACGTCAATCGCCCTCTATCAGCCAGTCAAGGCTCCAACACCTCTGCTGAGGGAGTTGTCGCTCGTTGGCATCTTCCGCTCGTTCAGATGCTCCTTCTCCTGCTACCCTCTTCACGGATTCCGTCAGCAGTCTTTCTTGGAATCCGTTTCCAAGAGACAACAGTTTGCGAACACGCCACCCATAACTGTTACGGTGCAAAAGCTGAACGTCCTCCTGTCCAAGTTGCTGGTGCTGCAGTCCCTCCCTTTTCAAGTGGTGGACTCAGCACCTTTCCGAGAAATGATGGCTTGTACCGCGCTGCGCGTGGAGAGTGCCAAGCCGTCATTTCTTCGCCAAAAAGGCATGCCACAGCCCTGCATTCACATGTAGAAGAGATGGGACCAGTCTTTGAGCATATCGGTCTCTGCCCAAAGTGCACGGCAGCGCCGACGTGTGGAGCTGTAACTACGGTCAGGGACAGTACATGTCATTTACGGCCCACTGGGTGAACGTGGTGCCGTCACAGCCGCACCAGCAACTTGGACAGGTCACGCCGCTTTTGCCTCCACGTTTGCACGTCCTTGGTCCGGCAAGATGTCCGCCTCTACCACCTCTTCTTCCGCCGTGTCCTCAGCCGCCACCCCCGTGCCAAGTCCCATTACCCGACCGGCATATCACATGTGCAGGGCGCAACGGTGTCACGCTGTGCTGCACCTGGTATGCCTTGGCGAACGTAGTCACACAGGGGAGGAACTTCTCAGTGTAATGAACAGAGAAATCGACAGATGGCTGTCTCCGCGCAAACTGAAAATCGGAACCATGTTGACCGACAACAGAAAGAACATGGTGTCTGCTCTGCGTCAAGGAAGGTTGTGCCATGCGCCATGCATGGCTCACGTGTTCAATCTGGTTGTCAAGCGGTTCCTAAAATCCACCATCCCACTGCAAGACATCCTTAAAATGTCACGTAAACTTTGCATGCATTTCAGCTATTTCCTACACCGCAAAGCACACCCTCCTTGAGCTGCAGCGGCAGAACGGAATTCCACAGCATCGCCTGATCTGCGACGTTGCAACAAGGTGGAATTCAACCCTACACATTTAGACCGCCTTTACGAACAGCGAAAGGCCATCACCGATTTCCTGATGTTACAAGCGGATAAAGGTACTCCCCTGTGTAACTTCGATGTCAGCCATTGGCAGCTCATGCGTGACACCTGCCGCTTGCTCAGGCCCTTTGAGGAGGCCACGCTATTCGTGAGTCGGCAGGGCTATGGGATGAACGACGTCATTCCTCTGTTGCACGTCCTGGAACAAATGCTGTTAACAATGGCTGGGTCAGGGTGCGGTAGACGTGGCGCACAGATCTCAACGCCACATGACCCCTGTGGGGGCAGGACAGGAAAGAAGAGGAGGAGGTAGAGGAGGACATTTGTGCTCAGGAATTATTGAGTGAAATGGGTGGTTTTTCCACTCAGCGGACAGAGTGGAGGAGCAGGAGCAAAACATCTGGTAGAGGAGGAGGAGGAGGAGACAGAGGACCCAGACGCACCGTGGCAGTATGCTGTGGAGATGGAGGGCAGGGAGTCCCTCGCATTCCTTGGCACAAATGGCCCATAGCATGCTCGGTTGCTTGCGTAGCGACAGCCGAATAATAACCATCAGACAGAGGGATGACTTTTGGCTGTCCACCTTGTTGGACCCTCGCTACCGTTCAAAAATGGTGGCCTTTTCACACCTGCTGAGAGGGAGGCCAAAATAACGTACTATAAAAACCACCTATGTAGTCAGTTGGTCTCTGCCTTTGTGCGCAAACGTCTAATCCTCAGACACTGTGGGCCCTGTGCGCTCGCGTTCCGCTGCCATGGCAGCAGGGGAGGGGTGGGGGGTGGGGAGCAGTGGTAGCTCCACCAGCAGCGGCTGCCTCAGTCTGCAGTCGATGATGAGTAGCTTTCTTCACCAGCGCAGTGAGGAAACTACTAACCAGCCCGCAGCAGCAGCAGGTGGACCTGGAGCAGGACTTCAAACAACAGGCTTGGGCCTACTTGGACAGCACCCTGCCAACCGAGGTAGACAATCCCCTTGACTACTGGGCAACGAAACTTGACCTTTGGCCCCAACTAGCTGAATTTGCCCTTGAAAGGCTGTCATGCCCGGCCAGTAGCGTGGCATCGGAGCGCGTGTTTTAGTGCGGCAGGAGGTATTGTAACTCCGCGCGGAGGACACGACTGTCCACCCAAAGTGTGGAGAGACTCACGTTTGTGAAAATGAATCAGGCGTGGATTAGTCTGGATTTTCAAACCACCAGTTCCTGACACAACTGACTAAATCCGCCATGAATCATGCCCCAAACATGTGCCACTTTCAGGTCTCCTCACACTGCTGGTGTGTTCCATTTTTTGTCATAGGGTGCTGGCAGATTACGGGCCTCCCATAGCTGCTGCCAGGCCCCTAATCTGCCACTGGGCCCCTATACCGCCTCCTCATGCTGCTGCCAGGTCCAGAGTCTCTCATGGGTCCCCTGTACGGCCTCCCATTGCTGCTGTCTCCATCGCCACACTCTGCCATGTGCCACTTTCAGGTCTCCTCACACTGCTGGTGTATTACATTTTTTGTCATAGGGTGCTGGAAGATTACGGCCTCCCATAGCTGCTGCCAGGCCCGTAATCTGCCATGGGCCCCTATACCGCCTCCTCATGCTGCTGCCAGGTCCAGAGTCTCTCATGGGTCCCTGTACGGCCTCCCATTGCTGCTGTCTCCATCGCCACACTCTGCCATGTGCCACTTTCAGGTCTCCTCACACTGCTGGTGTGTTCCATTTTTTGTCATAGGGTGCTGGCAGATTACGGGCCTCCCATAGCTGCTGCCAGGCCCCTAATCTGCCATGGGCCCCTGTACCGCCTCTTCATGCTGCTGCCAGGTCCAGAGTGTGTCATGGGTCCCTGTACGGCCTCCCATTGCTGCTGCCAGGAGGCAGCAGGGTCGCAGCAGTGTCAGTGGAGGCAAACGGCCACGGAGTAGAGCACCAGCTCCACTGCAGCCTACCACCACGGCCAGTAGTGGTGCCGGTGTGCACGGAGGAAGTAGCAGGCAGCCAGTGAGGAGTAGCGGGGGCAAAGTTTCCTACTCGGCGGTGTGGCAATTTTTCGTCAAGCCGCCCGAGGAAGTAAACGTAGCCGTATGTCGACTATGTGGCCAGAAATTCAAGCGTGGCCAGGGGGCCCATGTTGGGACTACAGCGTTGCGTCAGCATATGCAGCGTCGCCATTCGGTGGCCTGGGAAAACCGTGATAAAGATACGGCGGTTCTGCCTGCCCCAGCCCAGGGTTCCATTTTGTCATAGGGTGCTGGCAGATTACGGGCCTCCCATTGCTGCTGCCAGGCCTTAATCTGCCATGGGCCCCTGTACCGCCTCCTCATGCTGCTGCCAGGTCCACAGTGTCTCATGGGTCCCTGAACCGCCTCCCATTGCTGCTGTCTCCATCGCCACACTCTGCCATGTGCCACTTTCAGGTCTCCTCACACACTGCTTGTGTGTGTTCCATTTTTTGTCATAGGGTGCTGGCAGATTACGGGCCTCCCATAGCTGCTGCCAGGCCCCTAATCTGCCATGGGCCCCAGTACCGCCTCCTCATGCTGCTGCCAGGTCCACAGTCTCTCATGGGTCCCTGTACAGCCTCCCATTGCTGCTGTCTCCATCGCCACACTCTGCCATGTGCCACTTTCAGGTCTCCTCACACTGCTGGTGTGTTCCATTTTTTGTCATAGGGTGCTGGCAGATTACGGGCCTCCCATAGCTGCTGCCAGGCCCCTAATCTGCCATGGGCCCCTGTACCGCCTCCTCATGCTGCTGCCAGGTCCAGAGTCTCTCATGGGTCCCTGTACGGCCTCCCATTGCTGCTGTCTCCATCGCCACACTCTGCCATGTGCCACTTTCAGGTCTCCTCACACACTGCTGGTGTGTTCCATTTTTTGTCATAGGGTGCTGGCAGATTACGGGCCTCCCATTGCTGCTGCCAGGCCCGTAATCTGCCATGGGCCCCCGTACCGACTCCTCATGCTGCTGCCAGGCCCGTAATCTGTCATGGGCCCCTGTTGTCGCTTGTTGGCATATTCCGCTCGTTCAGATGCTCCTTCTCCTGCTACTCCTCTTCACGGATTCCGTCAGCAGTCTTTCTTGGAATCCGTTTCCAAGAGAGACAACAGTTTGCGAGCACGCACCCGACGGTGCAGAAGCTGAACGTCCTCCTGTCCAAGTTGCTGCTGCCAGGCTCGTAATCTGTCATGCGCCCCTGTACCGCCTCCTCATGCTGCTGCCAGGTCCAGAGTGTGTCATGGGCCCCCGTACCGACTCCTCATGCTGCTGCCAGGCCCGTAATCTGTCATGGGCCCCTGTACCGCCCTCCTCATGCTGCTGCCAGGTCCAGAGTGTGTCATGGGTCCCTGTACGGCCTCCCATTACTGCTGCCAGGCCCGTAATCTGCCATGGGCCCCCGTACCAACTCCTCATGCTGCTGCCAGGCCCGTAATCTGTCATGGGCCCCTGTACCGCCTCCTCATGCTGCTGCCAGGTCCAGAGTCTCTCATGGGTCCCTGTACGGCCTCCCATTGCTGCTGTCTCCATCGCCACACTCTGCCATGTGCCACTTTCAGGTCTCCTCACACTGCTGGTGGTTTCCATTTTTGTCATAGGGTGCTGTATGGCCTCCCATTGCTGCTGCCTCCACCGCCACACTGTGGCTCCACACTCTGGTTTTGGCCCCGTGACTGCCCAAATGAGTGAAGTGTGCGGTGATTCTAAGATCGACGGCACTCATCTGCATGTCATACTGACTGACAGTATTATTTCTCTTCCCCAGCAGACTCCAAGGGCATTTAAATTAAAGGTACAGTGTTCTGCACTAATATAAAGGCTCTCTGAAGCCTAGAAACACCCTTTTATAAGTTAAATTCGCAGCGAATATATTCGACTCGAATCAAAATTTTTTCACGAATTCGCCGAATCAGTCGAATCGAATTTTTGAATAATTCGCTCATCTCTAAATAACACCATGCCTTGGTTAATTCATTTTCAGTGAACACATATGAGAGTGTTTGTAGGTGGGGGCTACCTAGAGCTTTTAGAGGAGTACATCAGCATAGTAGCTCATGTTTTCAAAGAAAGAGCATTGTCACAACTATATATAGGGTTTTTCAACTGAACTGAACTGTTAAAAACTATCATGAGCCTAAAGCCAGCCATAAAAGGATCGAAATTTGGCTGGTTGAGCAGGGATCGGCATCTGTTCTTTACCAGTAGTAGGAACTGTTCCTTTCTGTATCATTTACAAATTTAGAAAAAAAGTGTTTTTCTTAAAAATGTTGCAAATAAATAATCTTTCTTCATAAATCTTGGCTAAATGTACTCAGCTATCGTTTTAGTTAAAAACAAATAACACAAATTAGTTATAACCAAAAATTATAATTTAAAACATTTTTTTTACATTTTTCTTTTATTTTTTTACATTATTATTTATGGGTTTTTTTTTGTTAGTATACTGTCACCCTAGCAGTACAGTGTCACCATAGTGACACTGTACTACTTGTGGGGGGTAACGAATATTTTTTTTTTTTACACTGATTGCTTTTATACCCATAAAAGCTGTAAAAGCAATCATTTCTCCCTTTTCTCTGGCTGCATTCTTGCAACCATTGTGAAATACTGTGAGAGCTGTGATTGGTCACAGCTTGTCACATGGTACAAGGCTGTTGTGAATAGCCTTGTACCATGGGATCTCTGTGATCAGGGGCAGACTGACAATTCATGGGGCCCCCGGGCAATAGGGGATCATGGGGCCACTGTGTCCTTGCCCAAACTCAAAAAAGCCTATGAAAAAGGTACCAGGGGCATCCCATAGGGCCCCCTACTGACCCCGGGCCCTCGGGCAGTGCCTGAGTTTCCAAATGGTCAATCCGCCCCTGTCTGTGATCATTCACAGTTTTCACACGTAGTAAGCAATGATGTCAGAAGTGACATCTTGCTTACTACTATTCATGTGATCACCGATTGGCCAATCAGTGATCACATGATCGGGACCTCACACAGAAGTCCTGTACAGCGGGACACAGCGGGCACTGGATTGCGGTGCCGTGTGCTCCCAGGGAGCGTGCACAAGCTAAAAATGCGAGCGCCGTTTATGAACGCAACCCGCTCCTGCACTGCTCTAGCTAAACGGCTGTTTATATACATGGGCTAGACGGGAAATGGTTAATAAATCTGGGACTTTCACTTATCTATTGTTATTGTTATCCACCTCCTTACTCTGCACTGTGTGGACTCCCAATACCCAACAGCATTGTTGTTGAGTCTGATACGCCCGGTCTTGGGATGTGTAGTTGAAGACCTTGTTGAAGTTGACTGTTATGTAAATGGAAATAGATTCCTGCTATGTAAGCTTGTCAGCCAGGACACAAATTGGTGTTTTCTTGGCCACTCACCAAGGCGAGTGGCATACATAGATTTAAATTTTTTAGTTTTTCTGCTGACACTCTTAGGTGCACTCCAAGTTTGTTTTCTGTCTTTTAACTAACATGACCATGTTCTGATGCATGCTGAGCAACCTGGTTATATTATTATTTCCTATAGGAATGGGGTGTGTGGGCCAAATAAACATGGCGGTGGTTTATCTGGCAGTTTCGTCTCTATTGCAACTAGCTGACTGATGATCCAATGTTACAGTATTTTCTGCAGAATAATCTTCAATACTAAGGCTAATTAATATCTGTATAAAGAACAACAGAAATGTACTGGGGACCCATAAATAAAGAAGACAACTCTATGTGGCTCTTCTACGGAGGTGGGAGACTGTTAAGGATTATACCTTAAATCCACTCTGAGAAAGATCAGCTGTGATGAGGAGAGCAATGTTTCTAGGGACACTGCTCTGCTAAGCTGGGTGTGAGAGATAAAAATATGGTTGTTAAGGTAGTTTGCTTCATAAAGTATGTATACACACTGACATATATTTGACAAATTTTAGCTTTGCTTTAAATATATTGGAACAAGCAGCATCTACAATCTTTTTTATTTATACATATTATCTGAAATTTGAAAATTCATAATGTATTCTTCTTCTTATCTACTAGGATTTCATTAAAATATATATATATGCTAATGTATGTGTTAATTCCAGATGGATTAGACCTTGAACTGATATAACCTTAGTACTGCATACAAGCATTTTCCTGAAGAAGCGGATCCAGCCACAAAACATGTTGATAAGGGTTTTCTAAATTACTGTGGTATAATGGTGTCATGATCTAATAATTGTGAACATTGGATGCAATGTAATATACATCCTTCTGCAGTGCTTTAGAGTTTGAAATACATTTTTTTGAATGTTATAATTTGTTTATATTACAATTTACTATTTTATATGAATTGTTGTAAATCCTCAGTGTTGCACATAAAATATTGTTTTTTTTTTTTACCTAATGCTCCTAATGCTTAAAATAAATATAATCTGGGGTGAATTTGCTATAGACAAATAGACTGTGCACTTTGCAAGTGCGGTTGCACTCATTTTCACACAAAGCTTAGTAAATATGGTAAAGCTCTGCTGATTTGCATCATCCAATCATGTGCAGTAAAAATGCAGTTTTTTGTTTTTTTTATTTTCCTTTACATTCATACATTGCATTCCTTTACAAAGTGAATCTTTACCACATTTACATTTACTAAGGAAAATGAACCCAATTGCACTTGCGAAGTTTAGTCTTTTTGCTTTTAGTAAATCCACCCCTCTGTCTCTTTCCTTCTATATGTATTTATAAAGTACCGTATTTGCAAGTGCTGAAATTATATCTGTTTACCCCTTTGCTTGTCTATATAGCAAGCTCTGAACAATGAAAGGTAGACAAGGATGACAGTTCAGGAGCTTGTCATTAGCAGCTGCAACAGTTGTATTCAGTGAAAAATCACAAACTTGTACCATGATAAACAGGTTACAAACCAGAATATTTTTTTAAAATCTAATTCTGCAGTGGTTTAAGTTAAGGTTCACCCAGTCCACAACCTCTCTTTGATGATGGAGTTCTCCGTCAGTTTTTCCATCCTAAAGTCCATAATCTCCAAATGTTTGGATGGGGCTATACTACAGCACTAGAGATGTTGGAGTATGGCCTTATTTTAGTGGGAATTACTGCACAGATTCTGTGCCAGAGAATATTTTGAATATGTCATGCACATGGGACACCATCACTTTCACAGAGAACTACGCATGTAGCTGGTGGGGGGGGGGGGGTAACTTAGTTTAGGTTAAGTGCCTTGACTGGGGAGGTAGTTTTTTTATGGACTTGTACTTTAATAGATGCGTTACTATGTTACACCTATTTGAGCTTCTTGTCTAAAATGATTAAATACCCACTTTAAGACAAGGCCTTTTCTGGCACTTTTTTTTTTTTTTTTTTTTTTTGTTCCATAAAGTTTTATTAGGAAAATACAAAACATAGCATACATTTGGTACAATGGAGTAGAAGGGAAAAGGGAGTGGAGGGCAAGCATAGAAGGCAGATAACATATGCCATACTAAAGAAGGTGATCATGTGTGAAGACATAGACAATCATCTTAAGTCATACAGAATAATAAAAGAGTTGGTGGTAAGCGGATAAGAGGCAACAAACCGCTAGAACAAACGTGTAGGCATGTAATACTCGAGCACCATAATAAGGCATCTAAGAGTATAAAAGAGGGTGCTGCGGTGGGGGTTGCAGACCCTGAATACCCGTGTGCGGGAGGATGTCTTTATAAAACCACAGGTACGTATAGTGCCAATACTGTATGAGTGTGTGTCACCTAAGGGCAGTGTGAGAGGTAATAGGGAAGAGAAAAAGAGAAAAAAAAGAAAAAAAAGAGAAAAAAAGAGAAAAAAGAAAAAAAAAAATGAGAAAAAGAAAAAGAGAAAAAAGAGAAAAAGAGAGAAAAAAAAGAGAAAAAAAGAGAAAAAGAGAAAAAAGAAAAAAAGAAAAAAAGAGAAAAAGAGAAAAAAAGAGAAAAAAAAAAAAGAGAAAAAAAGAAAAAGAAGAGAAAAAAAGAGAGAAAGAAAAGAGGAAAGAGAAAAAAAGAGAAAAAAAGAGAAAGAGAGAGAAAAAAGAGAGAGAGAGAAAGAGAGAGAGAAAGAGAGAAGAGAGAGAAAAGAGAGAGAGAGAGAGAGAGAGAGAGAGAGAGAGAGAGAGAGAGAGAGAAAAAAAGGGGAGAGAAAGAAGGGTGGGAGGGGATAGAGGATCATAGGGGAGGGGATAGAGCTAGGGAAGAGGTATAGTGGGCAGACATGTTACCGGTACGTAGGATCCAAGACCATGACAATTGTAAGCAGACCCTAAGCGTATGTATAAGCGGGTATATGTATCGGGCAGTCGAGTGTATTGGGCTAAAAGGTATCACATTTCAACCTGCAAAAAAAAGGGGAGGGGAATGTCAGGATACACTTTTTGTTTACATCAGTAACTATCAGCATTTTTTGCTAGAAATTTCTTACAAACATTACTTATTTTTTTAAAGTAGAGGCTCTAGAGAAATAAATTGGATGTTGTAATTTTTTATGTCACACTGTATTTTTTGGAAAAAATACACTTTTTTGATTATTAATGCACAAAAACACAATATAATGCCCAATGATCTGTTAAAATATAAAAGATGGTGTTATGCTGAGTAAATAGATACCAAACATGTCACGCTTTAAAATTAAAATTGAGCACGCCTGTGCAATGGTGACAAATACTATCCATAGGAGACGCTTTAAAAGCCTTTACAGGTTACCACTTTAGATTTACACAGGAGATGGTGTTAGAATTACTGCCCACAATCTGATGTTCACAGTGATAACTCACATGTGTATTTTTCGCTTGTTACTTTTTTTTCTTTTATTTTAT